TTCGAAAGGCTGAAGCACAAATCCATTTAAAGATTAGCCTATGTTCCTCAGAGTGATTCGCTCTCACGGCTGGGAATCTTAATCCATTAATACCACGATCGACCGTGATTCACTCGTAAAAAAAACTTAATTGAAGTATACCTGTGAGGGCATCAGGTTTCTGGGGCCGATGATAAAGGCAATTGGGAAACAATGTAGCAGTAACTGAGGGTCAGGATGTAATATAATTTGATGTTTAATGCGCTAAAATCTGTGCGAGACTCCGGATGCTCTTGATATGACATCGCACGCGTGGACAAAACGGGTGCCGCACGTTTAGATGAGTCTTTTAGCTAGTTTAATTACTTTGCTTGAGTTCACATCCACCCATATTGACGCCTAATTCACATAGTGCAATAGATGCGATATAAGTTCGCTTTACTGGCAGTCAATTAACGTGCAACGAGCAACTACTACGTCCATGGAATAGGCTGGTGGTGGACATCTTTATTTGCAAAGATGTACAAGTCAACTTCTTCGTGTCTGATTCGTACCGATCTAGAAAGTCGGTGGCTAACATAAAGCTATAGCGATTCCCAATGTGACGGCCAGGGCGTTAGGGGGGATAGAGGACCGTAATCTCGAAATCCGTAAGATATTCCCACCTCCTCACCCTAACATTTCCCATTGCACCGAGCTACTGGTTGCGATGTGTAGAGAAGACAGAGGGAATGGTTCTCAGAGTCAGCGGGTTGAGATTTGTAAGTCAGCCGCGCAGCGTACGCTTGACTATTCTCTGTGGCTTAGTTTGGTGTGTTTTAAGACTGCGTGGCTTCAGGAGACATAACTACGTGCATTACTACTCGGCAGTACGTCTGGATGAAAAATATTTAGGAGTACTATCTCGGTGTCCTACGTTTTGTATTGCACAACGGTAGCAAAAACCACTAGATCTCGAAATACAATTCGGGGGTTTCTTCAGTTAGACTTCGGACCTAAAACCCTCCGTGCCCAGAGCAGTTGGTTACCTCAAATCTACTTTTGATAATTATTGTCAACAATACTTAAGGAAGGCTCTGTGACCCATGGGCTCCCTAAGAAAGGCCCATATCCATAGTCTCCAGGAGTTTTGCCGAAAGGAAAATCTATTGCTTTCAAGACCGAACAAGGTTTCGGGAATTGTGCTGATGGACAAGAAAGATTATGTGGCAAAACTAGAAGAAATATTATCGGATCGCACAGTTTTCAAAATCCGATAAAGAAAAGGATATGACAGAGGCCGTTGAAGACAAACTGACAAATTTACTTAAAGAACTTCAAAATAAGGACTTTTATCTGACAAGAAGCTGGAGAGGCTAGGGCTGGTTGGTACTACAATACACATATTAATGACCCGCATAAAATTCTTAACTATAATCAGTAAGATTCAGGAATGTGAACCTTAAGAAAGAGTGATGAACTTGTGCAAGGGTAATGGAAAGGAACAAAATCGCTGTTCTTCCGTTAGCCTTTGCATTAACGCTCAAGGCAGACTGTATCCAGACTCTAGTCTCTACGGAAATTAGTTTTACACAAACCTTTGCCAACCTATGTAAAAATGAAAGATATTATATTAAATGGAGTCACTTCTAGAATCAACTCTGGGTTCCCATAGGACACCTGAGAAGTTACTCACCTCAAATGCATTCTTGAAAATTGCTGTCAAACTTACGGAAGGCTCCAAGACCCATAGGCCCCCTAACCAAGCCCCATCTTGATAGTCTCGAGGAGATTCGCCAGAATGAAAATATATTGCTTACAAGACCGGACTAGAGTTAAGGAATTTTGCTGATCGATAATAAAGATTATGTGGCGAAATCAGAAGAAGTATTATCTGATCGCACAAGGTTTTCAAAATCCGATAAAGACAAGGGTCGGAACGAGGCTGTTGAAGACAAACTGACAAAATTACTTAAAGAGCTTCACAAAGAAGGACTCTAATCTTACATACTAAGTTGCTGTAAATCAAATGTACAGTTTCCCTGCAATAGTCAAATATACAGGCAAATATACAGAGTTGTGATTGGCTCGCCACTTGGACCATTCCTCGCAAATGTCTTCATGGGCAAGGTCGAGGAAACGAAGCTCAAAGACACTATCAATGACCTGGACTTCTTTGTTCGATACGTGGATGATATCTTTTGCCTGACAAATAAAACCATTAACTACATTAACTTCCACAGTTCCGTTCCCCTTAACCTCAAATGAAACTTAGTCCAGAATACGCCGCACCTGCTCTCCTGAAATAGTGAAAGTAGAAATAGCAGCACCTGCAAAACACACTTCATGAAGACAGCTATCCAGAGAGGTTCATCCCTCGGAACATCAAGGAGCGTGTCACAAAGGCCGCAGTTGCAACGGAAAGAAATAAAAATTTATTCATATGACTGCCTTTTCTGGGAGACGCAGCAAGTGAACTGCTAAGTCGACGCCCGAAGACAGCAGTCAAGAGTGCCTTCCCGGCGGCAAACTTACGCGTATTCTTCACTAACTCTTCCCTTTTACGAATGGGAAATAAAGACAGACTACCGTTGCAGGTCACACACATGTGCTTATTTCACCTGCTCCTGTGGAGCGGGATATATTGGACGAATAACGCGATGTGTGGAGAAGAGAATACGCTAGCGCATACTAGCCTGGCTCAGCTAATGAGAGAATCGATCAATTTCAGGCTTAAGCCTCGCCCACCCAATTGATACGAACCAATAAATTGACGCGGGAGAGGCTTTTCGGCTCATATACCACACGCCGACACAATACACCAAGGGCCTCTGCAAACGGGTGCTAGCCATAGCCATAGTGGCAGTCGTTTATGCAACACCCAGTCTCTGCTGGCAAAAAGCTCTGGTATAAGCAATCTGCCTCTCTTTTCCGACTACACACGCAAATCCCACGTCTCCTGAAGCCACGCCGTCCAAAAACACACCAAACGAAACCACAGAGAATGGGCAGTCGCACGCAGTCGCATGCTGTCCTCGTGATACTGTCATGGTTAGACCTGACAGAATCTCTTCTCCCCACCTAAAAACTTTGAGACGCAAAAAGGAATTGTTCTACAACTAGGTCTGGAGATGGACTAAAGGATGTGAACGTCCTAATAAAGCGTGAGATTTCCAGGCTGAACGAACTTTTTGTTACTTTTATA